GCAGCTGCCTACAAAGGAGTTTCATAAGACTGTCAGCTGATTTCACAAAAGAGATCTTACAGGCAAGAAGAGGCTGGAAAGAAGTATTCCAAGTCATGAAAGGCAAGGACCTACATCCAAGATTGCTCTATCCAGCAAAGCTTTCATTTAGAATGGAAGGGCAGATAAAGTGCTTCTCAGATAAGGTCAAGTTAAAGGAGTTCATCATCACCAAGCCCTTGTTATATGAAATGTTAAAGGGATTTATTTAAGAAAAAGTAGATAAAAAACATTTACAGTAAAATGACAGCAAACTCACAATTATTAACAACCCCACCTGAAACAAAACCAAAACCAAACTAAGCAAACAACTAGAACAGAAACAGAATCACAGAAATGGAGATCACATGGAGGGTTATCAACAGGGAAGTGGGAGGGGGAGAGAGAGGGGAAAAGGTACAGAGAATAAGTAGCATAGATGGTAGGTAGAAAATAGGGGGAGGGTAAGAATAGTCTGGGAAATGTAGAATCCAAAGAACTTATATGTATGAAACATGGACATGAACTAAAGGGGGGATATGTGGGTGGGAGGGGGTATGCAGGGTGGAGGGGCGTGAAGGGGGAAAATGGGCCAACTGTAATAGCATAATCAATAAAATATATTTTTTAAAATTTATCATCTTAATCCCTTTTAAGTGTATGGCTTGGTGGTATTAAATATATTCATCAAGTTCAGCAGACGCCACCATCCATCTCCATAACTCTTCCCACCTTGTAAAACCCAAACTCTATACCCATCAGAAATAACTCTCATTCCTCCCCCCTCCAGCCCCCAGCCACCACCATTCGACTTGCTGTCTCTGTGGTTTGGACTACCCTGGGTCTCTCACGCAAGTGGAATCCTACAGTGTTTGTCCTTCTGTGACTGGTTTGTTTCACTTAGCACGATGTCCTAAAGGTGTCAGAATGTTCTTACTTTTTCAGGCTGCGTGCGGTTCCATTGTACATATTGTAGATACCACATTTTGCTTGTCCATTCTTCTGACAATGGACACTTAGGTCGCTTCCCTATTTTAGAGATTGAGAATAATGCTGCTATGAGCATGCAAATATCTCTTCAAGATCCTGCTTTCAATTCTTCTGTGTATAAACACAGAAGTGGAATTTCTGGATCCTGTGGTAATTCCATTTTAATTTTTTGACATAATTGCCATTCCATTTTACATTCCCACAGAGTAGGAACAACAGAGGTTCCAGTTGCTTCACATCATCACCAACACTTGTTTTTTTAAAAATATATTTTATTGATTATGCTATTATAGTTGTCCCATTCCCCCCCCCTTTATTCCCCTTCACCCTGCACCCCACTCCCACCTGCATTCCCCCACCTTAGATCATGTCCATGGGTCGTTCATATAAGTTCTTTGGCTTTTCCATTTTCTATACTATTCTTAACCTCCCCCTGTCTATTTTCTACCTACCATTTATGCTTCTTATTCTCTACTTTTTCCCCCATTCTCCCCCCTCCTCCTCCCTGCTGATAACCCTCCATGTGATCTCCATTTCTGGGATTCTGTCCCTATTCTAGTTGTTTGCTTAGTTTGTTTTTGTTTTTTTTCAGGTTTGGTTTTTGATAGTTGTGAGTTTGTTGTCATTTTACTCTTTATATTTTTTTGTCTTTTTCTTAAGTCCCTTTAACATTTCATATAATAAGGGCTTAATGATGATGAACTCCTTTAACTTGACCTTATCTGAGAAGCACTTTATCTGCCCTTCCATTCTAAATGAAAGCTTTGCTGGATAGAGTAATCTCGGATATAGGTTCTTGCCTTTCATGACTTGGAATATTTCTTTCCAGCCCTTTCTTACCTGAAAGATTTCTTTTGAAAAATCAGGTGATAGTATTATGGCAACTCCTTTGTAGGTAACTGTGTCCTTTTCTCTTGCTGCTTTTAAGACTCTTGCCTTATCTTTAATCTTGGCTAATGTAATTATTATGTGCCTTGCTGTGTACCTCCTTGGGTCCAAATTCTTTGAGACTCTCTGAGCTTCCTGGACTTCCTGGAAGTCTATATGCTTTGCCACATGGGGGAAGTTCTTCTTTATTATGTTTTCAAATAAGTTCTCAATTTCTTGCTCTTCCTTTTCTCCTTCTGGTACCCCTATGATTCATATGATTGAATGTTTGAAGTTATCCTGGATGTTCCTAAGCCTCTCCTCATTTTTTTAAATTCTTGTTTCTTCATTATATTCTGAGTGAAGGTTTATTTCTTTCTTCTGGTCCAAACCATTTATTTGAGTCCCAGTTTCCTTCCCATCACAGTTGGTTCCCTGAACATTTTTCGTCATTTTACTTTGCATAGCTTTCACTTCTTCTTCTATTTTGCAGCCATACTCAACCATTTCTGTGAGCATCCTGATTACCAGTGTTTTGAACTGTGCATCTGATAGGTTGACTATCTCTTTGTCACTTAGTTGTATTTTTCTGGAAAAGGTCAGCTTTGATCTGTTCTTTCATCTGGGCCAAATTTTTTTTTTTTGTCTCAGCCCACCTGTTACATAGTAAGGGGCAGAGCCTTAGTTGTTGACCAGGGTGGGGCAACCCACCTGGCTTTGTTGTGATGCTGTATGTGGGGGAGGGGTCCAAGAGGGAACAATACCACTTGCTCAGCCCTCTCCCCACTTTTAGTCACTTCCCTTGCTGTCTACAAGCAAATTAGGCCCTTCTGGTGCTGATTCCCAGGTGGGTGGGTTTGTGTAGGTTCTAGGACCCCGTGGTTCTCTCCAACGAACTCTCCTGTAGGGCTGGAAATTTCTCCCAGCACCTCAACCCCCACAGGTGTTTTCAGTCAGAGGTTTGAGGCTTTATTTCCCCATGCTGGGACCCTGCACTCGCCAGGTCTGTCCTGCTCCCCGGTGGTTCCTCCGGTTTATCTGCGCAGGAATGTGGGGACCGCCTGGTCTGCAAGCTGCCACCTTGCGGAGAGTCCTCTCTGCCCGGCTGCCTGGCTCCGCCCCTCCTACCGGTCTGGATGAATGTTTCTCCTTTAACTCCTTGGTCGTTGGATTTCCATAGAGTTAGATTTTCTGTCAGTTCTGGTTGGTTTTTGGTTTTAAATTTGTTGTTGTCCTCCTTTTGGTTGTGTGAGGAGGCACAGTGTGTCCACCTACAGCTCCACTCTAGCTGGCTGTTTTTTTGTTTTGTTTTGTTTTTTTATTTTAATAACAGCCATCGTAACTGGTGTGAGGTGGTACTACCTTATGGTTCTGATTTACATTTTCCTCATGATTAGTGATGCTGAACACCTTTTCATGTGCTTATTAGCCATTTGTATGTCTTCTTTACAGAAATGTCTATTCAAGTTCTTTGTTCTTTTATGAATTGAAGTTTTTTTGTTGTTGTTTCTGAGTTTTGGGGGTTCTCTATATGTTACGGATGTTCTTCCACTATCATATTTATCATTTCCAATATATTCTCATTCTGTGGGCTGCCTTTTTATTCTATTGATATTATCTTCTGATGCACAACATTTTAAAATTTTTATGAAGTTCAGTTTGACTACTATTACTCTTCCTGCCTGCGTCTTTGGTGTTACAGCCAAGAAATATTGTAACGCTGAGGCCTTGAAGCTTTATCTCCAGGCAGTTCACACATTAAAATGTAATTTTTCCCTTTGGGTTCCCAGAGTGCTTACTTCTTATTAATGTTGTTGCCTAGATATTTTTTTCATGTCCTAGGAGTGAAAAAAGTAAACTAAGTACACATATATTTTGTTTTTAAAATAGGATGTTGGAAGGTGTTATGTTAATCTTTTGGTCTTTGGGCCACATTTGTAAAACATTGATTCAGTCAGATTATTCCTCTGTAGAAATGACTGTTTTCTGGACCTTGTGTGCTGGTTGCTGCTTGCCATGAGACCCGAGAAGAACTTGGATGTTGTTTGAGAGGCGAGGTACAAATAACTCGGGGTGACCAAGACAGCTCAGGACAGCTCCCCCCAGATGGCGTCTGGGAGCACAGCGGCTGGGCCCACAGTTCTGCAAGGCTTGAATTTTCATTTGCTCAGAAGAACGCTAATAAATGAGGGGACTTGGCTCAGCTAACAAAACTTTCCAAAGTCTGATGTTCAAACTACAATACTGGTTTCCTAATTTACAAAGAGAGGGTAGTCCCTTCCAACGACAGAAATATTTATGTCTGCCTTCATGACCAATCTCTGGTTTGTGTCAAGGCACCTACGAAATTGAATCGTAGAAGCCAGATCAGTGTCTGGAGCATTAAATCAGAGCGAAGGGAAGTGGACTGTAGACAGTTAGCCAGGCTCTGGCGTGGACGGTTTACCATCCCGCCCCGAACAGGAGACTGCTGAAGACCCTCACTGTCTGATGCCCACGTTTAGTCTTTCTCCTGGCCAGTACAGGACTCACACAGCCGACTCCGCCTCTTCGAGTTTCGCTTTTGCTATATTTCATGCTAAGTGTCTCCACCTATTTACAGACTCTTTGGCCAGGCAGGTTATCGTTTGTTTAATCAATGAAGTCTCAGTTTGTTAAGTTCTAATCCCACTTTATGGCGTCTCCCAGACGTGTCCGGGGCATCTGTAGTGCAGGAGTAGGCGTTCCCACCGCCCTGGTAACACGCAGATGTGTGTTTCGTGGTGTATAAATGAAGTCTTTAGGTTTATAGTTTCGGTTCCATCGATAGCATTTGAAGTACTTGACATGGTTGATTACAAAGCGTTTTTCTTCCTTTTTTAGAAACTTTTGGACTCATTTTCGCTGCATTAGCTGCAATAGCTTTAACACTGTAGGAGCCGTGCCGGGAGATACGGCGCCAGCGTTCCAAGGGTTAGGGAGCCAGACAGGGCGGATGCTGTGCTGGGCTGGGAGGCTTCCCAGCGCCAGGGAGGGAAGGGAAGGTTATCAGCGCAGCATTCCTCTCGGGCTCTGTCCTGTGAATCTGTAACCATTGGGGATTTGGACGGCTGGAGTCCAGAGCTTCCCAGTGGCGATCTGTCTTCCGAAGATGTGGGGGAGTGGTTGGTGGAAAACACCTGCCTCTGTCTCTGCGTGCGCCGCGCCGCTCCTGCAGGATTTTCGTCTTTATCACAGGGTCAGATTGGAGAGGGTCAGAAGTGTCCTGCTGATACTACCCAGCACCTCCGCGTGCTTCTCTGAAAGTGACAGTGTTCTCTTTTTCTGCCTTAGGAAGAAAATAATGAGAGACAGCTTTACCATTCCAGGTATGGTGTACGGCTATTTTGGAAAAAAACTGTGGTCTTATATTACGGTTTGTGTTTTAAAGATTTCCCCATAGTCCCTGTACTGCCACAGTATTTTCTGCAAGTGTCGGGAGTACTTCATTATGGAACATTAGTTGATGATGTTACCAAATATTGAGAGAAGAGATTCCTTCACGCAGTGACGTCTTGACCCCTTTGGTAGGGTGGTGGCGCCAAGTTACCTGAAAGTCCTTTGTCATCCTCATTGTTAACCAACACAATGGGGTAGTCATTATTATCAGTTTAGCATATCACAGCAGTGTCTGCTAGAGAGTTACAAGTTCTAGCGCTAAAGCTACTGAGGAATTTACTTAATCCGAGGTTAGCCTTCCTGCCTCCTGTCTGTGGGATGTGCTCACAATAACAGAGACTGTTAATAATTTTTTTCGGTGCAGGGGAAGGGTTACTATAGTGTACCTAGAAAAAACAGCTGAAAGCTTACTTATGGAGAAGGCTATGTTTAAGACTTCAAATAATTGTGTCATGGCGTAATAATAATGAGGGAAAAATACATACAAAGTCGTAGGCATGGAGATAAAACAGAAGTAATACATCACTTACCATCACCAAGCCAATTTGGTCGTAAGTATCCCCGTGTCCATTTGAAGAGATTAATTAATGTCCTCACCCAAGGAAAACTATAAGCTCCTGAGACATGGTTTATCTTAGGTAAATGACCTAAAATTGATCAGGTAAAGGTAAATAACCTGAAATTGATCAGGTAAATGTAAGGTCCAGGTAAATCAGGTTAAGTTCACTGATGTGTACTGGGTATCTATGAGGGATCCAGAGAAGATTTCATTTCTGTATTCTTTTTTTCCATTTTATAATTAAATCTATATAAATCTATATACAGTTCTTTAAAACTTTTCATGTTTTAAATTCACTCGGTGTATATTTATAGACTGCCTCCCATGCGTGTCCGTGAGAAAGCGGTGGGAAGAAGCGTTCAGCCGGCCTGTGCTGTAACGATAGGCCGTGCACAGTTGGAGAGCTCCCCATCTGATCTGACTCCAGTTAAACAGCAACAGTTAATACTAAGAGATTAATTACATGCCAGAAGTCTCTTGAAATCCTAGTCTGCCCTGAGAAAAAGAAAAGTAATTTGATGATATGTAAATCCACGTCCCTCGGGAATGCTTTTCTCAGGACACGGAGTGAAACTCAGACTGTGATAAAATCCCAGCCCCCGGTATCGTTAACTTGGGTCTGGGCTTTTCTGTGTCTCGTAGACAGGGTCGCCCTTTTTGGCTCCGCTTGCGTTGTTTTTTCCACTGTCTGAGCCCTCCGGTCGGTGCCTTCCTTTTTCTGCCCCACTTCACCTCCGTGATTTCCACGCAGCATGACAGTCTCAGCTTAGGATCACTTTCTCCAGGAAGCCTTCTGCATTACAGTTCTCCAGAGAAACAGAGCCAACATTATTTATAAAACGTATATTAAAATATTTTATTTTATTATTTTTTAAAGATTTTATTTATTTTTTTAGAGTGGGGAAGGGAGGGAGAAAAAGATAGAGGATCAATGTGTGGTTGCCTCTCACATGGCCCCCACTGGGGAGCTGGCCTGCAACCCAGGCATGTACCCTGACTGGGAATCGAACCTGCGACGCTTTGGTTCGCAGCCCGCGCTCAATCCACTGAGCTATGCCAGCCAGGGCATATTAAAATATTTTAATGCCAAGATGAATGAAGTAGAGTCTGGCCTGCCATTGCCATTCTTTGGTGTTGCCTTCGACTAGGGTATGATCACTTCATCTTCTCTCTGAGCTGGGGGGGTGAAGAAAAAAAGAAAAATATTTTAATTATGTATTTAATACAATTAAAATATCTAATTAAAATGAATTATCTTCATTCATAGTTAAAATAATGTATTACAGATGTGTACGTTATGAGGATGGGCTCCCCCTGACAGCGCCTGGGAAGTCCCACAGCTGCAGTGTGGGCTGGCAGGCCCGAGACCCAGGAGGGCAGGTGGTGCGGTTCTCATCCCCGGCTCAGGGAGGCTGCCTTTTTTTTTTTTTTTTTTTCCTATTTAGGCCTTTAAGGGATTGGGTGAAATCCATCCACATTATGGAGGGCAGTCTTCTGGACTCAAAGTCCACCGATGTAAATGTCACTCTTATCTAAAAACAACGTCCCAGTTGACGTATAAATTCATAATCACACCATCCCTTTTCTCAGCCTTACCCAAGTTTGGGTTTAGGGCCCCGGACGCGTGAGTTAATACTGGCAGTGCTATGCCATTTTTGCTTTTGAAAAAAGCATTAGAAATTACTTATTAAGAAATTACAGCATTTCTGGTTTGCATAGCACTTGCAACAAGATTATTCTCTTCTGTGGTCTAGCTGGAATCCTTCTATTAACGTGACCCAGGGTTCCATTCATTCCACCACATTATGTCACTCTTTCAATTTGCAATTAGACCACGGAGTCTTCGACTCTTCATAAGCTGTTATTATTATTAGGCCAATTTTCTTTGTCCTCTCCCAATCCTGTTTTTCAGTAATTGATGATATCTAACATAAGTGTAGATTTGCACACTAGAATTCCTGTTTTAAAATATTATTAGTTATTTAGCCTGTCTGATCTTAGAATCATAGAATCTTAAGATATAGTTTATTTAGCATTATTTAACCATTAGAGTTCTACCTAGTTCAGTTATGTTTACTTGGACGTGATTGGAAAGGAAAAATATCTCGCTATGAGGACGTGCTTCGAGTTTCCGTTCTTTCTAAATCCAAGTAAAGATGGACATGTCAGACTGGGAAGAAATAAAGGAGACCTTGTTTTTTACATTTATTATTATTTCTTAAATGCCACAAGTGGCCACAAGATAGCCTTCATTGAATCAGTATGCTCAGTTGCCCCGCCCTGTTAAGAATAAGTGCATTTTTCTTAAACATAGTAGAAAATTGGAGTTGAGTCTCAAACAATGTTCATTCCATCCTCTTGGGTGGTATACTGTGTTCCCAAGGCGTGGTCATCTATGGGTTAAAAAAGTCATTGCTATTTAGTTTCAAATTTTTCCATCTAGTCACTATAAGCAGTGTGAATCACAGCTTAAAAGGATTGATTTGCTACTGACTAAAATATGGGCAATTATACTCTTGGGAGCAAATAATGAACTTTGAGATCTTGGATCTGAAAACATGTTAAACATGTATTTGTCTGTCAATTGATAACAGGTAGTCACAGAGCCTTGTGGGGTTGGTCGTGGAAGATGGTTTCTAGGCCCTTCTCTTACTGAGGGGGTCTCCCAAAGACACCACGGAGAGGAGAGTACACCCCTCGTTGCCTGATTCCTGGGGAGCAAGACTTGGGTGGGGTGCAGGGTGAGGGCCCCCTATCTCAGGAACCAGCTGAAAACTTCTGACTCCATCTCAGCTGTCACCCTACCTTTACTGACCGCCACTAGTCTGTCAAAATGTTAGGCACCTTAGAAGATTTTCTGATGCACATTTCAATATAGCATTATCAAAGATGAGAGAGAATTATGTCAGAGGCCCTTCTGCAAGAATCGTAAGTTTTTTCTTAAATCCCTTTGAGAGAAATCAACAATCCAGGAATGAATGTTGTCATTTTAGCATACTCACTATGGTTCCTGGAAGAGGGAACCTTTCTAATAATAAAACTGAGCACGCTTTCATTCCTGGAATTTCTTGTTGGGAGTGTAAATTTTTCCCAGCAAGATGCAACATTGGCTAATTACGTAACACGTGGGATTTCTCCGCTAGCCCTTTGTTTAAAGAGGGTGCGAGAGGTTTGCGCCACACAGGAAAGTGAAGTCAAACTTAAGTGTGGTGTCATCTTTCTACCTGTCACGTGAACAAACCCGGATTCAGAAGCAAATAGGTTGTATTTAAATTTTTATCAACTCAGAGAAGCCAACTATAAATAGTATTCTCTCCTTCTTGTATGTGATTTGGGGGACCCTTTTCCTTTTTGCTCCAGGAAGATGTTTCAAGCAGGAAACTTGGCCCCCAAAGTTGTGTCCACAGGTTCATGAACACGTGAGAGGGGTTTCTCCGGCAACTGCCAGGTTCCGGGATGTGAACTCATAGTGTGTTTAGACCCCAATACGGGCTGAGAGCTGATTCTTCAGAGTAATGTCCAACTTGCTAAGATTCAGGCCCCTGCTCTCCTCCGTGTCTAGCTACTTGGATGAGCGCTTAGCTCTGCCTCCGAGCACTTCGAGATCTGTTGGAACATGCCCTTCCGAATCTTACTCAGAAGAGCGCTGTAGTCTGTGCTGCTTGTCCGGGTGCACTGGGAGAGCATGCTTCAGTCCCTTCGATGGCACGTCAGTTCGAACCACCAGGGATTCCTGTAGTTCCTATCCAATCTATCTCGGGAGATAGCGTTTCTCAGCCTCAGCACTGTTGACATTTTGGCTGGCTGATTCTTTGTTCGGGGTTGTGGGACTGAGGGTCTTGTCCGATCATTGTAGGATGTAGCAGCGTCCTTGCCTTCTACTCACTAGAAGCCAGTGGGGACAGCCAAAAATGCCTCTAGACATTGTGACCCCTGGAGGTCAGAATTGCCCCCAGTTGAGAGCCCTGAGCTTCAGGATGGCCCCTGGGGAGGCACGAATCCCCGGGAACTTCAGGCCATTGGGCACAGTGGCCTTTGGCAGCCTGAGCAGTCAACCAGCAGAGACACAGGGAGCACCCAGGAGCGGCATGCAGGAAAGGTCCGGGAATCCCAGTGGGTTCGGGCACAGTGCCGACATCATCTGCTCCACGTATGTGAACGTGTTACATTTCTACCCTCCGGCTGTGTGAGCAGGAGAGTGATCTGATGTGAAGGGCCAGTTTCCCTTTAAGGGCTGGTCCTGGATTGACATCCGAGCGTGACCTGTCCTACAGCCAGCCCCGCTGCAGTGTGCCCGAATCCCCCAGTCCTTGCCCCCAACACCCAGCGACTTCTTCACTGGGGCCTGTTTTCATCTCTGCAGGAGCGGTGCGATCCGGAATCTGGTCGGAGAGAGCGTATAATGGTTTGGAACCTGCAAGACCAGAGTTTCTGACTTTTGTTTTGCTGTATCACAGAAAGTTGCTGCGTTCGCTGTATTTTTCTCATCTTGGACCTATTTTCTTTCTGTCCTTCCTCCTACCCATTATTCATTCATTCAACAAGTGCAAAGGGCAGGGCATCTCAGCAACACCCAGTCTCCAGAGGCCGCAGCCTGCGCTCAGTGCCAGTGGAGGGTGTGCGGTAAGTGGTGGGTGTTCAGTGGTTTCCATGGCAGCTGCAACAACGTGCTGCTAGTGTCTTCTGTGGCGTGAGAGTTGGCCGTGGCCTCGGCGCCCCTCAGCCCTGCCAGCAGTTCTGTGAGTCAAACAGGAGGCTTTCACTTGACTTCTTTCCCCCTCTTTCCTCCTAACACACCATTCTGTCTTGGACTTATAATCATCTTCTTGGGGTTCTTTTCTTTCTTGAAGTCCGTACTATAGAAGTTCTATTAGTGTGGAACTATTGATAGTAAACATACTCTATTTCTGTCTACTAAAGACTATTTCGCCCTCATTCTTGAAAGATAATTATGCTGGGTACATAATTATAAGTTGACAGTTACTCTTCTCAACACTTTGAAGGTCTTTCCCCTTTGCCTCCTAGCTTTAATTATCCTTAGTGTCAATTGTCTTTCTAGCTACTTTATTTTGCCATTATTAAGGAACTCCCGTGTACAATGTGCACTGATGTTTTTGGCCCAAGCTTTCAGGAGAAGAATCTTTCATTTTAATTTTTTAATTCAATTTTTTAATTTTATATTTAGAGACAAAACTGATTATCATATTCTTCCAGGGTATTATTTTGCCTATGGATATCATTATTGCTTTCTTAGAGTTATGCTTTTAATGTATAAGCATAAATAAAAGAATTAAAAACATTTATATAAATCAAATAATTTAAAAAATATTTATATAGATACAGAATTAGTACTACCCATGTATAATGTGCATCCTTATTTTTCCCTCAAAAATTTTGGCAAAATAGAATGCATTATATATGGCAAAATTCAGTATTTCTTTGTAGGTAATCTTGTTTTTCCAGTTACTTCTAAGTTCCTTTGTAAGAACTGACATTAAACTGATTGAGAAGCTCTAGAAATTACTAGAAATACATTGGCCAGTAACTTTCCTAATAGTCTTCTTGTTTTAGTCTAAATAACAAGGAATTCTGCCCCAGGTGTAAAACTTTATTTTTATTTTTGTTTTTATTTGACTATGATTCTATCACTGCCTCACCCTGACACCGTTTTTGTATTCCGTTTTTCAAAGTTTACTGCATTTGTGCCTACTCTCGGGTGTCTTACACTACCACACCAGTCCCCTGGGCTGCTGCCTCTCCGCCAAGCCCTTCCCTCTCAGAGAGTCTAGATCCAAAATCGGTATCCTGGGGTGTGATGAGCCGAGAGGAACTGAGCCCATTCAAACGCAACCCTGTTAGCAGATCAGCCACTGTAACATGAATGGGCAGGCTGCACAAGAGCCGAGAGGCACCGTGTTTAACGAGGAAACCCTGGAGGCACCCCCGTTACAGGCAGGTGGGAGATGAGGGCGAGTTCCTCATCATCATCTTCGTTCTGGAGGCGCTGGCCGTGGCAATTAGACTGAAGTAAGAAATAAACAGTGAACGAAATTTTAAAAGGAGGAAGATTAAACCAATACTTGCAGACCCCTGGAATCAATGGAGAAAGGCTCAGCGGTGGGATAAGTGAGGGAGGTCACTGAGACAGAAAGCACAGAAATAAACCTTCGTGCATTCAAACAACAGCCGGTGAGAAGTAGAGACAGGAGAAGCCCTATTGCATAGCTTTGAAAAGACGAAAGGAAAGGCTTTCACCTAGCATGCAACGTGCCAAATCTATACAAAGAGCATTGTAAAACACCGTGGAGAAAGATTTAAGACATGTAAGGGCATCGTCATATTTGGATTGGAAAATTCAACATCATAATATCCATTCTCCTTAAGTTAATCTAGCTGACCCCAACCCGCAACAGGGCATTTTTGGTTTTTGTTTGGAATTGGACACGCTGCTTCTAAAAACCACGTGGACAAAGAAAGATTTACCAGGAAAAGCCTGAAAAGAGGGTGCTACCTATATTAAATGTACTATATGAAAGGGTACTAACTTTATACTAAATATGAAATCTTTCTCTGCAGGAACGGAAATTGTGAGATCCTGGCACAGGAATGGATGAAAAATTCAAAGGCACAACATAGAAAACCCAGAGATAGACCCAAGTATGCACAGCAATTAAATAAAGGTCTCATCTCAGTAAATAAGAGTGGAGAAAGAAAGGATTTCTTAGTAAATGGTGTTGGACAACTGGGCAGCCCCCTGAAAAAAAAAATTGGATCTCTACTTTATACAGATCATACCCAAATGATTTCCAGATGAATCGAAGAAGTCACATTAAAAGTGAAACCATAAATTACCAAAGATAAAAGAGAAAATGACATTTATTTAACTATAAAAAAAAGCACATCACCATAAAAAAGTCAAATGACAAAGGACAGATGGAGGAAATTTTTTTTTTTTTGCAATTCACCTCAGAGACAAAGGGCTGCTTTCCCTAACATAGAAAAATGCCTGCCCTCCCCGGGTAGCTCAGTCAGCCAGGGTGTCATCCCCAGTGCACCAAGGTTGAGGGTTCGATCCCTGGTCTGGGTGTAACAGGGTGATGCCAAGAGGGGGGACCCCAAATAGGGATTTGGAATAGGGTCCAGAACTCAAGGTATTCAGGAAATATTAGGATGTCCTCACCCCTTCCCCCACACAGGTGTGAGCTGGGGGAAGGGACACCTGGAGCAGGGCCATTGAGAGCTGTTTCACACAGCAGCAGCTTTGCAGCTAACCTCTGGTGTGGTCATTTAACATATCTATAACCTTTAACTGGTTGCATAGATATGTTAAATGGCTGTGGCCATGCTCTGAGCCAGGGGGATGGAAGTAACTTACCCACCAAGACATAACTGGGGGGGCAGGTCCCTCAAGTTACAGTGCCTGCATGGGAGCTTAGAGAAAATTGGCTCCATGACAAGGGGCCATGCCTGCCCAGACCCGCAATGGCAGCCCAGTGAAGCTGGAAGGATATGAGAGTGCTGGCAAGTGTAGCCGATTGTGGGAGGAGTCAGAAATGGGGCTGTAGAGGAAGATTGGCACAGGGATTTAAACACAGACATGGCAGCCATTGAGGGGAGAACCATGCAGATTTGGCTGAGTGGGGACTCCCGTGGCCCTGAGAGAGAGAACCACAAGGCTTTGCCAGAGTGGGGACTCCCTTGGCCCTGGGAGGAGAACCACACAGTTTTGGCTGAGTGGGGGCTCTCGCAGCCATTGTGCAGAGAGGACCACATAGCTTTGCTGGAGTGGGGACCCCCACAGCTTTAGAAGGGGGAACCACCACCCAGCTTTAGCAGAGGTTCCGGTGACACAGCTGATGGTGCCGGGAACTGAGGGAGGCCTCCCAGCTGAGACGGATTACTGGGAAGAACTGGGGGCTGCCTGAGCCACGGACTTCTATTTCTTTTCCTGAGATACGGTATCCCACACTGGGCAAAGGGGGGAAGGAAGGGCTATTTGTGTTTGTGGGTGTTTTAAGGGACTTTGGGATTTTGATGAAAACATTAGGTCACTACTTTAAGTTTCTATAGCATTAAATAAACATTTCCTTTCCTTTTCACGACTCTGGCATTGAGAGACCTCTTTCCTCTGGCGGTGGACATAACAAACCTGGGGGTTCCTTTCGGGTAATAGTATATCATCCCAGGCTCCCCCTTGTTGTTCTGTAACATGGGCACATATAAGAATCAACCAATGAATGCATACATCAGTAAATGAACAAATCAGTCTCTCTTTTTCTCTCCATTCCTCTCTCCTTTCCTCTCTCTAAAAATCAGTAAAATGGAAAAAGTGCTTACAAATCAGTAAGAAAACACCAACAATCCAGAAGAAGTGAGCAAACCCTGTGAATGAACACGTAAGGGAAAAGGAAGTGTGTGACAGGAGGACTGCAAATGCAGTGACAGTACTGTGCTCCGGCTGGGGACGGTGCGGGGCACTGGCGCTCCCAGGCTGTGGCGAGAGCGTGGTTTCTATGACAGCTGTGACCAACGGTTTGAGAACACCAACACTGCAAAAACACTTTTCCTTCCACCTAGCAATGTCTTTCCCGGGAATGTATCTTGCCGCGCTTACCCATGTGTGGAATGACATGTGGATGAGAATAGTCTTTGTGATAGAAAGAGATTGGGAGTGACTGAAATGTGTGTCAGCATGGGTGGCTGGTCATACAAATTATGTACGTCCACCCAGTGGAATGCGAGGCAGCCACTAACAAAGAAAGGGGCAGATGTAAGGAAAAGGCTCCAAGATGCATTGTTAGGTTCAAAAGCATAGAGACAACATGGTGTATAGTAAGCTACTTTAAATGAGGGAAAGTGTATGTGTGTAAATACACACACTCGTCACACTGTATGGGGTAGGTACTATTGTTATCCCAAGTTTTCAGATAAGGGAACGACATTAGAGAGGCTAAGTAACTTTTTCAAAGCTAACAAAGACCATGAGAATAAGAATCCAGGAAATCCAACTACAGAGTCCCTACCTCTTACTAATCTATGTTGTCTCCGGTGGGGAAAAGAATGTTTCTTTCTTTTAAAGCTGCCCAAATGTTATGAATGTATCAGAGCTCAAGAGAAGCAGAACCAGTAGGACATCACACTTATGTCTACATCTCTACCATCTACCAATCAATCATCTACCTACCTATGTGTGTATATAGACGTACAAGTATATGTATGTGCACATGCGTGTACTCCCTAGTTTGCTTGTTTGGAGGTTGCTCACGCAGTCGGGCTGCCTGAGCGAGGCCGGAGTCTGTGGGGCAGACGATCAGAAAGGGGAGATCCCAGCAGGCTGGGGCCCAGGAGCATGAGCCAAAGCTTGAAGCCTCTGGACTAAGTTATGTCCACCCAAGACAATCTCTCATTCATTAATTCAGGGTCACCTGCTTAAGGTCTTTGATGACACCTCAAAATCCCTTCACAGCAGCACCTGGATTTGTGGTTGAATGCCTGGGAAAAGGTATGTGGATTCCACAGAAGGGCACCTGCCTCCCCTTGGCCCTCCAGCTCGAGAGGGGCTATCTCTAGCCAGCCCAGCAACGTGAGGAGCGCGCTAGAACAGGAATTCTGGGGAGGGCAGCCACGCTGACACATCACAGAACTATCACGGTCCGCCCCTTGTCAACTTGGCAGCTGTGAACATCCGCCCATCTTGTCCTTGATGTCCATGAAAGGCCAGTAACCAAGTCACACTTCTGCCTGACATGACACAGCTGCCCCATGTACAACAGAATAGGCTAACCCTTCCCCAAAGAAGAACACCAAGTCCTTGAGTGACACATAGTTTTCTGATAAACGCATGTTAGAGGATAAGAGGATGACAGAGAGAGAGCCCCCCAAATATTTGAGATATACATACACACACACACACACACACAAATATTCACATTAAAATATGGAGGAAATACTCCTGACTATTAAATAGCCCTCATTTCTACCACTGGTCACACGGTCATTATTTTTAACCACTTTCCTCTACCCATTTCTCATTTTCTCTACCCTCAGCAAGCACCTCAGCTGACTGCATCTTTTTTTTTATTGTGTGGGGTACCTTACTTTCATCCCTGAAGGTCTGGCCTATTAGGTGGTTTTCTGCACTTCAGTCGCAGGGCGTGGGAACACTCAAAGATGCCCTGGGGAGTCTCCCGCAAGCCGTACCTACTCTTGCTGGCCTGTCTTGTGTAATGCCGACCAAGTTTCCTCTTGGGAGTCAGGCTCGGTCTCCCCAGCCACTAGAGGTACCCCCGTGTTCACCCATTGATTCAGAGTCACGAGAGGCCAGCGTGGGCAGGCAGCAGCCTCAGCTTGCAGTTCAGTGAGATCATTGTGCGACCTTCCCTCCTTCTCCACTGCTGCCTAACGCATACCCCCAGCCTCGGGGCCTGCATCGCTCAGTGACTGCCGTGCTGTTTCTGTGGGACAGGAGCCCGGACCGACTGACTCCTGGCTCTCTGTTCAGAATCCCACGGGGCTGCAACCAAGGTGCTGGCCGGGCTGATTTTTCATCTGGAGGCTCAACTGGGAAAGAATGTACTTCCTGGTCACGAGGTAATGGGTCATGAGAGGAGGCCCTTGCTGCTTACCAGCTGGAGGCCACCTTTAGTTCCTAACGACCCCGCCTGGGTTTCCCTGCCACGTGACCCTCTCCACAGGCCGTCCCCAGCACAGCTGTTTGCTTCTTCTAAGCCAACAGAAGGATCTGTCTTCTTATTTAATATTTCAGTCTTCTTACGTAATGAAACAAAATCATAGGCGTGGCATCCCATCAGCTTGGTCATAAAATGTAACCTAAACAAAGGAGTGACATCTCATCATCTTTGCTGTGTCCTATTGGCTAGAAGCAGTCACAGGCCCCACCTACCCTGGGGAGGGGGGAGGGGATTTGATAGAACTCAGATCATTGCAGGTCCCCTTAGGTCGTGTCGCCACAATGACTGTGTAAATGTTGTTTGTTTCCAAGCCAAATAGCGTGCCAGGATTATATTGTGTTTCTCTTTTATGGTTTTAATGTCATAACCACCAGGCCATCAGAAAGGGAATATCCCTAGAGAGATATTAGCTAGACTTACTGTGGTGATCATAATATAAACAAATACTGAGTCATCACATCGAATACCTGAAACTAATATAATGTTATATGTCAGTTACATCACAATTTTAAAAAGAATGTTCCTAGCATTGAAATCAAACGGATTTCTTTTTCATGGTCCTCCATCAATTTCATGATGGTTAAATTCATGGTGCACTTGGGATTTCTATTTATTGATGTTGAACACACACATTTACTCTCACTCCTACAGAACTGAACACGAAAGGGCTCTCTAAAGCGGCATAAACCCCTAAGGACAGAGAAACCTGGAGAAGTGGAATGAAATTTAGAAAGCTGGAGAGGAGAGGGATAAGTGGTAACCACACTGGCAGACCTAGTGCAAAGCTGAATCTTCCCCTGGCATGGGGGTGGGGGGTGGGGGTGGGGGTGGGATTGGAATTGGAAGTGATGGGATTCGTGCTGCCGAACCGCCAAGGGCTCAGGGCCAGGCAGCACTCTTGTTGGGGACAAAGAAACAGGGCTAAAAATAGGACTGTTTGAACACCCATAGACCCTCTCTCTCCCCAACACTACGTCTGGCAACTGTCCCGCCAGCCAGGCAGAGGCTGCGGGTTTACTCTCAGGAGAGCTGAGAGCAGA